TGAACTAGTGGGTATTGAAGAAGCACTCAAGAAGAAAGTATGGCTGAATGCCATGAAAGAAGAACTTGAGGCAATTGAAAGAAACAAGACTTGGAAGCTGACAGAACTTCCAAAAGGCAAGAAAGCCATCAGCGTCAGATGGGTTTTCAAGCAGAAGCTAAAGCCAGATGGATCAATTGGCAAACATAAAGCGAGACTAGTGGCCAGAGGTTTTCTTCAGAAACCTGGACTAGATTATTTTGAGGTGTTTGCACCTGTAGCCAGACACGAAACAATCAGACTGGTGATTGCTTTAGCTGCAAACAGAAATTGGCCTTTGATACATCTGGATGTGAAGTCTGCATTTCTGAACGGTCCATTACAGGAAGAAGTTTATGTGTCACAACCTCCTGGATTTGTGAAAAAGAATCAGGAAGGGATGGTATACAGGTTAAGTAAAGCTCTGTATGGACTGAAGCAAGCGCCCAGAGCTTGGAATCTGAAGATTGATTCATTTTTCAAGGAACAAGGGTTTCAGAAGTGTGAGATGGAGTATGGTGTTTACGTTCAGCACACTTCAGAAGGTAATATGATTCTGGTCTGTTTGTATGTTGATGACATATTACTCACAGGAAGTTCTGAACGAGAAACAGCTGAGTTCAAGCAAATTCTGATGAAGGCGTTTGAGATGACAGATCTTGGAAAAATGAGTTTCTTTCTAGGGATGGAACTTATATACTCTGAGAAAGGAATCATTTTGCATCAGAAGAAGTATGAATTAGAGCTTCTGAAGAGATTTGAGCTAGCAAAATGCAAGATTGCTATCACACCTGCTGATACGAATCAGAAGTTAGACTCTGATTCTGATGGAGAGGATGTGGACGCTACAACCTTCAAACAGATGGTTGGTTCTCTGAGGTATTTATGCAATACCAGACCTGATATTTATTATGCAGTTGGAATGGTCAGCAGATACATGAGCAAACCAAAGTGGTCCCATTACCAAGCTGCTGTCAGGATTCTGAGGTACATAAAAGGAACTCTGAAATATGGAGTGTTATTTCCCTCTGGAGGAAAGATCAAATCAGAACTTCTGAGTTATTCTGATTCTGATTGGTGTGGAGACAGAGTCGACAGAAGAAGCACTTCTGGGTATTTATTCAAGTTTCTGGGAGGCCCAATTTCTTGGTGTTCCAAGAAACAGCCTGTTGTGGCTCTGTCAACATGTGAAGCAGAATACATCGCTGGTGCTGTAGCCGCCTGTCAAGCAATTTGGCTTTTGAATCTGCTGCATGATCTGAAGGTTGAAGTTGAGGAACCTCTGAAGCTGATGATTGATAACAAGTCTGCAATTAATCTTGCAAAGAATCCAGTTCTACATGGCAGAAGCAAGCACATTGAAACGAAGTATCACTTTCTGAGAAGTCAAGTGCAGAAAGGAGTGTTAGAAGTTCTGCACTGTAGCACTCAGAAGCAGCTAGCAGATGTTCTGACCAAGGCAATAAAAACAGACCAATTTCTGCGTTTGAGAGATGAAATTGGTGTTGTTAACTTCTGATAAATTACTAAATTATGGGATGGTATTAGAGGGTAATTTAGTATTTTGTTAGTTAAAGATAAGTTTACAATTAGGGCCTATGTGGCATTATTATTTGTGTATAAATAGGTGTATTAGGATTACATTTATATCAATCAATTCCAATCATTTGTTGTCAGCCTTTTGCATTTATTCCCTTTCATCTTCTTCCTCAAATTCATCACCTTTGCACTAACAATCTCACTACCTTTTTGAAATTTAGGAATCTTAAAAGTATTATTTACGAACCAAATTATATTTCCCCATCTTGAAACACTCCATCAGCAGTTAGTCATCCTCGGAAATATATAATGCCTTGGTATATACATAAACACCCCATTGTTGCATACGAGGAAGACTAAACAATTTAATCCAAGACTTTTCATTCCCATACTCCTTCACAATCCAAACATTAGAAAACTTGTCACTATAAGAAAGGATGGACAAACAACCTCTCAACACCCCCAATCATAAAAAGGTGGTGAAAGCTTTTGATATAACACATTCTCCAAATCAAGAGAAACAATAACCCTTTCTGCAAAACTAGAAGCATGACATGCCAACCAATTAACAGTATCACTCACAAATATTCCGGGTTTAGGAATGATATAAGGACACGGAAATATAATTTATTTTAATTTTTAATTTTTTTGGGTTTAGTGTTCTCGTACAACTTTATCATAGATTAAAGTGTAATATTTTTACTTTTAAATTGAATTTTACTTTTTTTCTTTTCAAAAAAATTATGAAAAACAATTTGTGCTAGTGTTTGAATATAATAGTATAAAAATGACACATGCATTTACACTTTATTCCCTTCATTAACCTGAATTTTTTTCGTCTCTTCAAATTAAGAAATATACAATTTCCTTATAAATCAATTTTGATTGAAAACCAGTATAAATCGGTTTTGAACCAAATTGAAATCATTTTGCAATTTTAAATTGATTATTATAAAAAATAGTTTAATTTTAAAACTAGAACTATTAAAATGGATTGATTCTTAAAATTTGGTAACCATGCACATCCCTAGATTCAACTTTTATTTTTTGATAAATTTTTATAATTAAGAATTTAAATGATATAAATTTACATGGTAAAAATATTTTATAAGTACTAACAAAGAATCATAAAATTTAATAAAGCAAAAGGAGTTTTATGACAACTTTGTAAAGTATCAAATTTTTCAAGTACATACTATTTATATAAGAGTTATGCTATATATTGTGAAGAAACTTTCGCGAATATATCACGAATGTTATAATATATAAAAGTAAATAAAAAATATATAGTTGAAATTGTACAGACGACATGACTAACACTTGAAAGCCTTATAATAATAAGAGATAGGTTTTGCACTGTTTGTTGTTGAAGCTCTAAAGATAGAGCTACATCATCGATAACCTTTGCAGAGTTCACCTTCCACAGTATCGATGGACTTGATTTCATCAACATGAGTTTGCTTGAATGATACAACGTGCCTGTGTTGGTGGCTCCACAGGGTGGATGGCTCTAGTGATAACTGCGACATTATCAGTTGCATTAGAAATTTGCTCTAAGCACGAGTCTCACTCACAGAAGAAAAGAGAACATGTCATGCAAGTACAAGTGAGGTGTTTGAATCCTAGTGATATCACGTCATTCGTTATATTGTCGTGATAGTCATCCTCGCGACATTAAGCATTTCTTTTTATATAATTGCTATTTGAGGAAATATTTCTATAAATAACAATATTATTATAATTAATATTTATAATATTATTTTTATATTGTTTAAGTTTAATTTTACTATATTTAATGTTGATTTAATTGGGCCATGCAAATCATTCATTTAGAATCAAATTTTTTTTACAAGTTCAATATTACACTGCATGGAAATATTATTGTACAAGAATCAATGATAAATAAAGAATATATATTTAAGAGAGTAAAGAGAATGATGAGTGTAAAAGCTTCAAGAGAGAATAAATGTTGGTGTTATGTTACTTTTACAAATGTCGGCTTCTGAATATGAATTACTTCCAACATTATCCCTTAATTCATATTCAGCTATCAAAAAAAAACTTTAACACTCACAGGTTCAGAGTCTACTAACATGGTATACTAAACAATTTCTTCTTCTAAATCTACTTCAATGTCTTGCAACATGTCAAACTCTGCAAACCTTCTTGGTATTCTTTTGATTCTTTGTGGTCTCTTAACTTGTTCAGAAACTTTTTCTGATTCTAGAACAGTATCAGATACTTGACCATCTTCAGAAGTTGGATCGCCTTCAGAACCTCTATCTTCTGAAGTTCCTCATTCAGAATCACGACCTTCACCAAAAACATGACCATCTTCAAAAGCTTGTCCTCCAGAACCTACATCTTCAGAGTTTTCCCATCCAGAAGCATGACCACCACCAAATTATAAATCATTATCAAAATCTAGATCAGAATCAGATTCACCATCTGACTCATCTTCAGAGTTTTCAGAATCATCATCTGACTCTGACTCTTCTTCAGAACTATCAAGTTCTGACTTATCTTCATAAATAGATTGAGACTTGCTCTAATCTATATTTCTGATTCTTTTACAATGACGTCTTAGCTGACATCGCATTTATTCATTACTAGTTGATTTTTTTTATTTATAAAACCACCTCATGCATTAAGAAAACAGCATAAACACCAGCTGCAAACATGAAGGACCAGAATCCAAGTTAGAAATACAACGAATCTAGGTTTTGTTACCTTGGGATCTGCCCACACCCACCATATAGTGAGCATCAACATTACAACTTCTGGCTAAAAAAGAAATAGTGATCAGGATCAGAGACCTTATTATCAAAGACACATTTGCTTCGTGCGGTCTACATTTTCCAAATGGCAGAGCATTGAAGTTGAACTGTCTGAATATCTTTTCCACTCACAACGCCATTCAGCCAATCAAAAATGTCCAGATGATGCATAAGCCTAAATCCCAAAGGGGGAGAAAAGCACACCCAAAGAGCAAACTCTCACTCAAGGAAAAGATGATGAGAATCTTCAGTCTCAGCATGACAATGAGGGTAGGATGGGTCGAGAGAGATACCTTTCTTCTGCAGATTTTTCCTCATGGGGAGAATATTCTTAGCGAGACTCCACACAAGGTTACACACTTTTTCTGTGATCGGCACCCTCCAAAGCTTCTTCCAGAAATCACCATAACACGAACCTGATGGACCAGCCAATTGCTTCCTTCTATCGCACCCAATAAATTGATACGCACTTCTAACTGAATAATCCCCATCTGCCTCGAAGTGCCAAATGTGTCTATCCTCTGTAGTTCTTCTAGACAACAGGATGTTAATAACCTTCACAACATCTTGAGGATCTAGCGTTTCACCTATAGCTTGCATATCCCAACAACCCAGATCATCACCAATTAAAGAGGATACAAATTTGTTCGCCTCCACATGCCCATCTCAAATCAAAGGTTTAAAACCTGGACCAGAAGGAATCCAGTTATCCTCCCAAACTCTAACCTTAGAACTGTCTTCGATCCTCCATCTAGATCCACGAGCTATCAAATCCTTCGCACTAAAGATGCTTCTCCAAGTATAGCTTGTAGAGAATGCATTCAAAACATCACTTCTGGGAAAATACTTTCCTTTGAAGACTTTAAAAAATAGAGAATTCCCGCCTTGAAGTAATCTCTTGCATTGCTTTCCTAAGAGACTCGTATTGAAATCACTAATTCTGCAGAATCCCATACCCCCCAGATCCTTTAGCAACAGAGAGACCATCTCAACTCATCCAATGACCTTTCCTATAATCAATATTGGAGCCCCACCAGAATTTTGCTAGCATTGATTCTATTTTCCTTGAAAATTCCTTCAGGCAGCTTGTAACAGTTCATGATATAACTGGGTATCACTTGAACCACCTCCTTGGTCAATACTTTTTTACCTACCCTAGACAAAAATTTCTCCTTCCATCCCTTTATGTTCTTCCAGACGCGCTCCACCCCAAGGGAAAAAATTCTTAGATCTTCCAAACACAACTGGGAGGCCCAAGTATTTGGAGTGATTTTCCACACCTTGGACCCCTAACTTACTGCAGACCAAATTCCTCACCTCCTCACTCACATTTTTTTCTAAAAGAAACTTCTGATTTGTTTAAGTTCACAACCTGAACCGAAGTTGCCTGATACCTATTAATGAGGACGAGGAAACGTTAATGTTTATAAAATCATCCCAGAACAGCATAAGACCTCTAGCTCTCTCCTTTCCACTACCATTGCATCCCACAACAAAACAATCAGAAAAGCGTGTCCTGTTTTTAATGAGGAGTGTTTCATCTTCTTTTAAACGAGTTTCCATTAAGAACACTAATTTAAGGTTTTCTTTTCTGAGGAGCCTCAACAAGGCTCGAACAAGGCTCGAACTGCATGAGGATTCCCTAGACCCCTGTAGTTCCAACTTATGAGATTCATTGAGTTAGAGGGTATTGGTCTTCCAACACCACCTCTGATTTATTTGTCTGTGTCATCTCAACATCTTCATCACTCTGCTTTCTCTTGTGATCTCCTATTCTCAAATCCTCAATGGATCCTTCTGCCACTCGAACGGATAGCTACCAGTTGCCTATTACTTCCTTCCACTAGTTGATTATTTAATTATTGAGAAATAGGATATTTGATTTCATAATAATTAATTTTCTTTTAATTAATTTTTTTTTGTCAATTAATTTTCTTTTAATTAATTTTTTTTTGTCAATTAATTTTCTTTTAATTAATTTTTTTTTGTCAATTATTAAAACAATTAGTAAATTTATTGGATTAATTTACTGGGATACATCCAATGGCTACACATTTCGTTGTTCAATATTAAGCTGTCGAGGATCCACGTTGCGATATGAACACACCATAATTCTTTCACTCCAACACTTCTATTTGGAATGGGATTTGAGAATTAAACTAAGGTGTCTGAAATATATCTTTCAAAACAAGTGACATAATTTTGAAAGTAGCTTTCAGATGGTCACTCATGATCATATAACATTTTACCTTAAATCTTCTAAAAAAATCTTTTATATAAGCTCGTTCACGTGCCAGATACTTTTTCATTTACTCTTGCAAATTACACATCTCTAACTATACCGACTTAACTATTACAATACTAACCTTGCAGGCTCACTTCTGCTCTATCGTATTGGAAGAGCTCATACTCACACATCATCAATTGTCTTTTAAGATTCGAAATAATATTGTTGACTAATCTTACTTGACCTTATTACCAAAATTATTGAAAGTGTTGAGTGCTTGCAACTTATTGCTACCATTGTTTGACTACATTTTATTCTATTAATTGCTGTTTCAAAAGTATATACTTTACTTCCGCGGCAATGTAAACATTATTCAACCAAATCATTAGTTTTCCTTCCTTATTAAAATAAACCTAGTTTGTGTTGTGTCAGAGTGTTCATGCTCAGTAGCTAGTTCTTTGAATCTTCATAGTATTGGATAGATCCTATCAAGGAATAATAATTAGGATTCAGCTCTGAAAGAAATCAAACTTCAGGAACAAACATACCTTAATATTTCCTATATAGAAGGCTCAATAAGTAAACAACATTCAACTAAATCAATGCATGCATGTATAACTTTACTCATGGGATAATAAACATTTAGTAACAATTATTCTGCTCCATATGAAGGCAAATCATTATCAACTATATTCATTTTTGGTCTCTCACAAGTCACAATAATACTCTCATCATCCTCATCTTTGAATTCTCTAAAGTGTGACAATCTGCCCAACTCTTCAACTTTATCCATAACATTATCTAGTTTTGCTACCATCTCCACTAGCAATGAAGTGAAAGCAGCAAAAGGTAGTGCTTCTGAGAACTTGAGGCTAGTGATGATAATCTTACTAAGTTGCGGCCTCAAAACCTTCTGGTGTACATGTCCTTTTGTTTGTTCTGGAGAATGCTCTTTGGATTTACTTTCAGTTGGGGAACAACAATCACTTTTAACTCTTGATAATGAGGCTCTACCTTCTTCTTCATGTTTGTAAGAGTTTGGAGTTCTGGGAGTTTTGGGAGTTTTAGGGGATATGGGTGTTCGACGTCCACCATTCCTCGAGCCTAGTAAGAGTTGGGGCTGAGATTTCAAGGCATTGTCAAGGTCTTGTAAAGCTTCATTGAGATTATTTGAGAGTACTTGAAGCGAAAATTGATGCTTTTTCCTTATGCTGTCGGCCATTATCCTTAGTACTTTTGATACTTCTTGTGCAAGTTTGATGCAAGAATCTTTGTATAGATCTCGGATTGACCTCGGTGTCTTCATGAATCATACGTTAAATAATAGGTAAGTTAAAAGGACATGTCGAAGCATAAAATAACAATGATCAACCTTATAGAAGCAATTTCTTGTGAAAAATGTGAGTTGGTATAGTGAGATAAAGTGGTAAGTTAATATCGCAATTACCATATGTAATGTATGACTAGAAATGAAATGAATGATGACAGCAATAAGACAAAAAAATGCAGGTATCAGGTTGAATCATAAAATTCATTGAGATAGTTGATTTAGTACCTGAATTTCAGACTGAAGACATCCATGTAGTGCTACAACTGTATAACTAAAATGACGAAGAGAAGCTCCTACTTTTGTGTATTGCTGCCATGGAATCCTGTGGCAGATTCTTGAGTATCTTGGCTCCCAATTCGCTTGCATTGCCTGTTCAATTCTACATTGTAAGACCGTCTGTTACATAGAAGGGGAAATTTCGGATATACTTGATAAAAAAAGGATACTAACTTACCAGTGTTTCATCCTTAGCTTTAGAGTCTAAAATGGCCTCGTAGCACTTGTAAATAGGATCCTCGCATGAATCATCTTCATTTTCTTGTTTTTCAAAATCGTAAAAATATTCCATGACAGAAACTGCATCATTGTTTTCACACTCAATTATGTAGATTGAGAAAATAGAAATACTGTTGAGCAGTTATTGTTTTCACAAATGGCATTGTTTCTTAAAGATCGGTCACCTTACCTTCTATAGAGTTGGCTAAGCCTTCAAGCTTTGATATAGTAGAGTTATGGAGTTCTTCGCCTGACCAGTTTGGAAATACTAATATGGTCATCATAAGGCAAAGAACAACACCTATAGTTATGGTGATCATGCGATCTTTTCCAATGGTCCAGACATTATCGACGCGGTAACTTGATACAATTATCAAATTAAAGGTCAAGAGAAATATCAAAACACCATAGTCATAATTCTTTTTTATATAAGGAATGAACCTCACATACGTAGCTGCTGCTCCTGCAAAACCAACCGTGAAACAATGGTTAATCAAAACATTTGGGAAGCTCAAGCCACAAGACAAATAACAATAGATCAGAATTACATTATAAGATAAGGAAAACTAGAAGCATATGATAATTAAAGATTCATGTGATTCACTTAAAGTTTCTTTCAAAAGTCGAGAATATACTTACCTAAAAGAAAAACTGCAGCACCGATAAAAATTGCTTGAAAAATCTGACCAGGAATACATGCAAGATACCGAATAAAAAATGCCAATGATCCTGCTAACAAAGTTCCCAATCCTCTATTCAGTCCTTTGCATAAGGTTCCACCTGCAATGATAATTGATCCATCATTAATATCTATGAAGTTGTGATCTAAACACATGTAAATAAAATGTAACTTAGAAATGAGAATCGCATACCTACAGTGAACTCCATGACCACAACTACAGTCATGACAGCCCATATAGCATTTGTTCCTATCCCTTTGAACAATGGCTCCATTAGATACAACAAAGATACAAGTGATAAAGTCAAACCAACTTTCAGTGAATGGAATATCCTTCTTGGATCATCTTTGCCAACCTTCCAAATTGTCCTTCTCATTAAACCTGGAAATCTTTTCACTTTATCAGCAAAACTGTAAAATGATTTCCAATGGCTTGAGCTCCTCATAGTTCTGTTATTTGTGTCAGACATTGAAACTCTCGTGCCTAAAGTGAGGTGTAGTCATTACAAGTTCTAGTTGTTATTATATAGGGCATGCAACAATCGGCCTAAAGAAGGGACTTATTTTTATGTATTTTTCTTTGATAGTGGATACTGCATTGGTACTACTTTTAGAACAGATGAAGAAAATAACAAAATGTTTATGAAGAGAAAGACATTGTGGCTGTTTTCAATGATGCTTAGAGCCAATATAATTGCTTTTATGTTTATTGTTAAATATAAGCTACTAGCTTATATTACAATCATGATGATTATTTTTATATTATAAAGCTACTGGAATATTTAAAGTTATAATCCTAGTACAACAAAAAAGCTCCACATTCCAATCTCTTCAATCCAATCAATTGAGTTGTTTCTTTAACTAAAAACAAAAACAATACAAAAGGGCTCACATAACAACCAAAGCAGACAGCATCTTAAAAAACAGTGCCTCAAAATTGTAACATTAATTTATGCAAACTTTGCAAAGATTGATTGATGATGGTTGAGACTAAAAGGAATCATTATGAATGTGTCAGCTGTCACGGGTCAATAAGAGAATATAAATTTAGCAGAACTAAAAGCAAAATCCCTTAAACTTGGTAGGAAAACATATTTAAGACCAAGTCCTGAACAAATATTCTTTGAAATATGAAAATAAAAACCAATTTGTAAAAGATTAAACTGATTACAAATATACTTGAGAGGAGTTCTACTTGAACTTTTATAAAGAAGAATACAGAACAGATAGGCATCTTATAAACTTCATATGAAGGCTTTAGTAAACAAAATGAATAACTAGAATCATGATGGTCAATATAGTTATATGTTACATGTATTATCCATTGAGAATTGAAATGTAGTAGACTTAATTAATGATGGCTCAACAACTGATTTGAAAATCTGCATCTATCATTCTAATTTTACAATGAAGTTTAGATCCTACAATAATTCTCAGATGATCCAGGTGTGACTCCATGACAAGGCGCGGTGGGTCCTATCAACAAATTAGAACTCACAGATAATATGAATGGAAAGAACATATTCTATCACCAGGATTGAGATTAGCAACCTAATAAAGGCAACAACATCAAAATTCTGCCATCCCATGACACCTTCAAATATGGACTCCTTGTTACTGAAATTGTTTCAAGCTTTTGTATATCCTGCAACTGATGATCATTAAAAACATTACAACAGAGATATTTAACTAAATGTAGAATAAGATTTGAGATAGATGTGGAAACAGTTGATTTCCCTCACCTAGCATGAATTTATCGGAACTCGTCGTGGTAATCAGTATACTCATCTTCATCATCATTGAAAATAGCACTATAAAATACATAGGGATTCTCAATCATCTCAGGCAAAGTGAGACGCCCATCTTTGTCACCGTCTGCCTGTCACAACATTATACAATGGTTAATGGTTAATGGTTATTGATGCAATTAATGTATGATGTTATTCAACAGATGTTGGAATGCTTTTTGAACTATTTATGTCAATATCAGTTTCTCTTAATAACATTATCACAATGTTTAATGAGATGTTATGCAACAGATGTTGGAGTGTGTGCTGCGGCCATATTTTGAGACACCTATCATGTAAGTTAAGCATGATGTTGGAGTGTATGATGAGGCCATATTTTGAAACACCTATTATGTAAATTATGCATGATGAATGTAGCTGTAGTGATCTATGCACTCGTCATATCTGAAATAACATCACATAAGCATATGTGTAGTGTGCATATTTTTACGCCTAAACTGTAACTGGAGAGAAAATAAATGGATAGTAAAATTGATTTACAAGGTCCCCAAAGGAGGAGCTTTAGGCTATGTTTGCGAGTTTGGAGGGGAGGGAAAGGGAAGGCTTTTGAAAATGAATTTTAAAAAAAATATAGGAAAATATTTGACACTTCTTGAAAAAATGATTTTGTATAGAACCATAAAATAGTGTTTATTATTAATGTATTTTTAATTTTCAGAATATTATAACAACAAAAAAGATATTTAGAAAATTTATGTCAGTCCTCCAAAATCCTCCAAAACCCTCCTTCATTATAAATTTTGAGTTCCCCCAAATTAGGGTTTTTTTGGTGTTATGAAGAAACACAAACCTTCCAAAACCCTCCCAACCAAAATCTTTCTATTCTTTTCATCCAATCCTTCATATTTTCCAAAGCCCTCCCCTCCCTTTCCCTCCAAACTCCCAAACAAAGCCTTAGACTCTGGTTTTCCTTTTAATGCTGCCGTAGAGCTTTTAAGCTCTTTATCATTTCAATAAACTAAATTGGATCTTATTAATTTTCTGAGTTATATCATATAGTAATATTTTTTAAGAACTTGTCTCGAGGTGAATATACTATGGTATAGAAAGTTTGATTGACACTCGTCCATTAGTAGGGTATACAGTAGAAGAAGCCTTCAAAGTCAAGAATCAACGATTCATACTCATAGGTAGTGAGAAAATTGAGTCAAAGGGTATCCTAACTGTAACCACATGCGTAAACGGCAGGATGGTCAACAGAAAAAACAAAAAACAGTAAGGAGGCTATAAGGGAAAAAGAGGGGGGAAAAGTTCACAACAAATGATTGGGTGTGGGATTGGTTAGAAGGATACATGTCTCACGAATAACCTGTTCTACATATATTGTTTCTTCTGTTTTGAGTGTTTCAATCAGCTTTCTGTTTACTGCGACTGGGAGTGAGGGAGATTCTGTGTTGACAAAATCTGTTTCTTTAATTGGAAATTATTCCAACATTTTCTGCAATCAAATAACAGGATCTGTTTGGAATCGGTAACTAGATTGGAGAAAGAAATCTGAATCTTTACAAAAAAATGGAGGAATTGTCCTTCACAGTGGATTTACCGCTTCGCGCACACATGCTAACAACTCAGAAACATTTGTCTTCCCTTATATTCATTTATCTAGTCAAGGCCTTCAAAATCTTCTCAGGCTCAAGAATGTCTAGAACCTGACCCCCATAATTTCAATCCTGAGAAGTTTCAAAGGCTCATTTCAATGGCAGCGCTAAGTAAGAATCTAAGTTGATGTTTGCCCATTCTGATATGTGCCCCACATAAGAGAATGGCTAAGGGACTATTTAATCCGTGTGATTGATCTTTCTTCATTAAGTGCAAAAATGAGTTTATCTTGAAAACTACATTGGTCCCGCCCGGCCCAATAAGTCAAAAATTCCCTTCCTATTTCTTATTTTCCTAAGCCAAATCATCTTGATAGCAAGATGTACCTCTGGTGCATCTCCAGTGGTATCAACCCATTGCCCACCCCAAGTGAGCTTAAGTTCGGCAACTCACGTATGAACCTCAGCTCCCCTTCCTCCCTAAAAGTTTATTTGCACTACAATTCCTTCAGCCTCGAGCATCTCTACCAATGGGTCATGTCTTGATTTTGACTTCATTCCTGTATATGATTCTTGCATCTCTGAAGGCTTGTCAGGTTCACCTCAAAGAGTTTTTCTGGCCAAGTGAACCATTCCAATGAGTAAGTCCCGTCCCAAGGCTCCCACAACACATAAATAGACCCACCTTTCTTTCCCAAGAACAGGCCTCTCCTCTGTTATAATCAAACCTATTCCTTTTGATGCTATCTAAGATCTGATTGGTCTCTGAAATATCATTATGGTTAAGTTGTTTTGTCAATTTCTAATTTAAAATTATTACATCAAGCATTAAACTAGGGATTATAAGGTGGATGGGTTGGTTTGAAGGGAAGTGCATAAGGGTTGGTTTGAAGGGAAGTGCATAAGGGTTGGTTTGAAGGGAAGTGCATAAGGGTTGGAGTAATAAGCGGCCATAGGTTCAACTTTCCCCACCAACATAACACACTAATATTTGTTGTTAAGAACTTAAGATAACATTAAGCATTAAACATCATTTATATTACATAGTATTTCAGTTACTTTTATTTGTGATTATGAGTCATGTGATTCTATGATGCAATTTTAATTCAAAAATTAGCTTCATGCTTCACAGTTTGAATTATGATTTGATAACTATGGACCTATGGTCATTTGTATATTCATATGATTTCACATGATCAAATGACACCTTTGTCAACAATAAGAGTGTAATTATTTTATGGGGTTCACTACCTGTGAAATGATATATTCTGCCTGCTGCTTTGCATAATAATACTCGGACGGATGGAGTTTCCCAATTATAGGCAGTAGTTCAGTATCTGACAAGTACCTGCACAGATAGATATGAAAACCCAAAAGTGAATGATAGTAGCTGATAAAGAAACTGCAATAATGTTACAAAGAAAGTACATTAAGAATGAAAAATAGACAAATACCCATCACCATCCTGGTCAAGCTGCGCAAACAGTTTTCTAGCAGGAACATCCATTGGATTATCAGTATGATGGGAATCAGTGTGACTTTCTTCTTCGTCATAGTTTCTTACCAAATCAAAGAGCCCGTGAAAAAATTCTTTGAAGTTGACCTTCCCATCTCGATCTGAGTCTCTTTCTCTATAAAGAAATAAAAAGAGTACATAAGCATGAGTTCGCCAAGGCGGTCATATAATAAGCTAATTGTATATAAGCTGAAGATCTCCCATTCTCTTAAGAAAAATAAAATTAACTAAAACATAAATATTTTTTATGTTCTAATATTTCTATAAAAAAATTAACTTCTTCTAGATGAGGCCAGTGGCAGCAAGGAAAATTAAAAATAAAAATAAAAACCATAACCATCAGTGAGAAATACTTGCATGGATACTTACATAAATCCATATTCTTATGAACGACCAATAAGAAGAGAGGAAACTTTAAATTTATTTAAAATTTAATTTATTTTTTAATTGGGATCATGGGGGTGGTTGTGATAAGGAAGGAGAGAGAAAAACTTATTTTATTTTTTAATTAATAAAAAAATTATGATTGGTTGTTTCTAAGTATTCTCCACCATCAGTTGGGCTAGCCCAAGATAATTGAAACATTCAACTTCAATCCTAATTGTTTTCATGGATTTAGAATTGGGTGACCACAAGAAATCCAGTCTTCACCGCTCAAGTTAGTAAGGAGTGTGTGTTTATTTAGAATAGAAAACAAGCAAATGATAAATAAGAGGGGTTATTTGAACACCATTATCGCCATCTAGATATTGAGGATTCCCTTAAAAGCTAAATACCTGAGTTAGATGCTTGTGTACCAGGGTATAGGACTGTACTGTCTTTCACGATACATGTCAAATATATGAACCCGCCGATTGCACGTATATGGTGTGAATCTAAGAAACCTAAGTAAAAAGCTATATCGGCTTATTTTTAATAGTGGGATGTAGGAGTTCCCACCTTCATCGGAACCTTTTGTTCCCAATCCCTTCCTTGGAAACAAAAACATGGGACAGTGGCAGTTTTTTCATTTCCAGCAATGTTTTATGACAATAAATTTTCTAACTTTGTAAAAAACGTAGAAATCCATATTTTGAACCTCCACATTGCTGAGAATAATTTTCACAGCCATGAAATAAACACCATTGTGGGAAAGGGCAAACTGCAAACCCTCAAAGGTTTCCAGCAACGTATCTGTGATTAGGGAAGATTTTCCCCTGTTTCTTTCTAAAACATATGACGTTCATAACTATATTATTGTCAACACCTGAACTCAAACATTTAGTTTCCCAAACAGTCAGTGGCTATTTGGAATAGTTAGGATTAGGCAGTGTATAAATAACAAGTGGAACTGAGAGGGATACCATCTTGTCATTCAGTTAAGAGAATTGGGGCTTTTGGGCATAAGGAGGTTCAAGCCCTCAAAGTTTTGCAGCGCTGTATCTTAAATTCAGGAAGACTTCCCCTACTTTGTTTGTATTACATATCAGGTTCCTTAACGGCTTTTCTACATAAGATTGTGAATACATGAAAACTAGAGGTCCAAGCTTGTTTATCAGTCATGTGTGTAGCATGTCAAATGTGAAATGGTAAATCATAATTAGGTGAAATGAAATAGTCACTAATTATTTAGGAACATGACGTCTCAGAGTCATACTCATGTCAAATGCATTTATCAATGCAGTATATATGCTTTTACATTCATACTTTCACTTGCTAAATAAATTGTCCAAAGATGCACAACTAATTAGATACTTCAAAATCTAAGATAATAACATACCAGGACTACAAACACATCAAGGGAAAAACTACACAAACAGAAACAACTTACTCTAAAAGAAACTAAAATCCACCCTGACAAATTTCTAGGAGACATCTTACGAGTGACCTACCTGACTTCCTCCTTGCACAACCATTGTTGAAGCTTTGTATTATTACTATCAGCCGGGTGCAGAAAGCTGGAAAAGAATAATAAACAAAACAAAACAAAAATCACTCAACAATATGCAAAATAATTAGCTCAAGTGAAAAGCATCCAGAACAAAATAAGCAAGTACAAACAAGAAAAATTTCCTAACAAAAACAGTAGAAACTCACTCATTGAACTCAGTTAAGTTGAGAACACCATCTCCATCTGCATCAGATGCATTAAAATGCTCTTCTTTCCACCAACCCATATCATAACCAAACGAATCTTTATCTAATAACAAAAAAACAAAAAAAAACAAAAACAAATCACAACATTCAAAACCCTAGTTCAATAAGAATAGATCTAGAACGAGAAACAAGAGAAAAAGTAAAAAGTATAAAAATAGTAAGAGAGGTAAATAATTACCTGCGGATTTAACCCAGGTAGGAGGATCATACTCAGAGAACGAAACGACACCGTCATGATTCTTATCATGAAGTTCCATTTCTCTCTGAGAACGATGCAAAACCTCTCTATGAGCCTGTTGAAGATTCCACATAGTCAACTCATGAACATCGATGAACGAATCGGCGGGATCGACATCGATTTTCGGGAAGAGAATCAAAAGGCGAGAAGTAACATTGAACTTATCTTCGTCATTGATGAAGTCTTCCGCGTTCATGAAGTCCTCCCACTCCGGCTGCGACTCGTGAGCGGGGGCTGAGTCGTCGTCGTGGTGATGGAGTTGAGGGTGAGAATGATGAATGTGCTGTTGCTCCCATTGTTTGTCTTCGCGGTTGCGTTCGAGTTCGGCGAGGAGAGGGTCGAAGGGGACGGGTGGGTGGTGGGAGTGGGAAAGGGAGAAAGTGAAGTTGGAGCGGAGTTTGAGACGGCGGTGACGGTGGGAAGAGTGGTGGTTGAAGGGAGAGTAGGAGGAGAGGAATAGAAGAACGAGGAGTGCTAAGATCGAGTAAATCAAAACTGAACCTAAACCCATTGCATTTCACGATCTCCAATATTTTCCTTTCATTTCAACTCACCTTCAATGCGTCTGTATATATCATACGTCTCTTTTATTTATTTCACAACATCTCCTTTTTATTCAATCATTTAAGTCGAGTTTTCTAAAACAACAAAAGGTAGAGATATCCTAGAAAATATATAAATACATGAAAAATTAAAAAAATCAGATTGAACATCAAAATCCCAACAATTAACAATTAGCATTATTTTTCCCTGCGAAGAAATACTATATAAAAATCTGAAAATGTCTTTTTTTTATTTTGAAAAATATTTTTTTTTTGAAGGAATTCATTTATATCAAATTCATGCGTAAATAATATATGTTTTTTTTATTAGATATTAGTTCGGAGATGTATTATCGTGATAATTTTATATGTATCTCATTCATTTTAATTGAAACATCTTTATTTTGTTATAGTTCTGAAAATGTATCTCTGTATTTAAATACGGGTGCATATTTCTGTAATTACCTTTTAGGTAATAAAATTTGATATTTTTTTTAGAAACACACTAATAATAGATCATATATTATAACTATATTATCATACTAAATTTTATATAAATTAAACTATACACTTATCTAATAAGATGAAAACGCCATATAGTATAGTACTATCTATAATTTCTAATGCAAATATCATCCTAGTGGGTATATCGGACCCCCTGTTATTTTGTTGCCTCCTGTAATGCAATGACGTATGTGTCTCAAATAAAATGGCATCTACAATGGTCCTCACAGAAATGCCTTTAAAAAATTTCCTTTGTCTATACTTATTCGCACAAAATCCAAAATACGACAACATGCATGCAACAAAACAATGACATAATATGCCTTAGATTATTCCTCCTCTAATATCTCTTGATGAGTTGATCTAGGTGACTCTACCTTTATATCTGATATCATATAAGGATGTGACACTCTGAAATACCACAGAACATAGTTGAATGTACAACTTTGTTCTCTAGGAGATGTGATACCTCGCGTTTCGTCTAGTACCAGATGATTAAGAAAATCATCATACATATCATTTATATTTCTGCATACAATAGTAGAAGGCTATGTCATTCATGTGACGCATCTGACGGTAAAGGTCATACGACCAAAAATATATATCATCTGATGTTGTGCGATCGTGATACACTTTGAAGGGCTCAATCGAATGATCCCCTCTAAATGGGACGAATGCACAAGCACGTGACATATCCTTAGTATAGTCATCAACGTATGACCAACTGGAGAGTGTGGGAAATATTGTAGGATTTATGCTTGAAAATCGTACAAATGAATTATTAGTAATGGCGTAGCACAAGTATTATAAAAATGGTATAGAAATAATAAAGGATGCAAATATATTATCGTCAACAGCATGCAATAAATTATCATATGTCTGGTTTTCCAAAAACAACATTCAGGTAACTTAGAGTATAGGTAAACCAAAAAAGCGGCCCCCAAATCAGTGAAGTATTTGAGGTTATACACATCCATATAATAGGCACTCTAGTCCATAAATATGGATGTGTCAACCAAGTATACAAGGTATGGCCTCAATGCACACGTTTTATGATACATAAATTATTCATCATCACCATCGGCCTGCTCTGCCACAATCAGGTGGTGTGTATACTAGCTCTCTAAGAATCCAAATCTAGCATGACACTTTCGGGTGTCTTCTATCTCGTTCAAGGCATCATCTAGATTAGCTCCCAAATAGTTCACTATCATCCATAGCGCATCAGATTTAATAATCCTAAAGTGATCTAATAACCTCCCCCTGATCAAAAGATGTAGCAGGCATGACACATAATTTAGTTTGATGGACATTTGGCCATGTTGTCATACCCCAAATTTGCCCTACTTGTTCCTAATATTTTTTATTCCTATTTCTAAAAATTACTTTGCTTTATAAAATATTTTTCATATAATTATGGGGGTTTAAAATTTATAAAGAGGGGTTTATCTTAAATAAATTAATGGGTCTTTCTAAATTAGAAATGGCCCGTGTAGAATTTTTTAGTCCGTTTTAAAATCTAAAAGAAGGAGGTTCACACTATTTAAAGAACTCTTGGGCCTTTCTAAATCAGAAAGGCCCGTGTAAGGTTAAGCTCTTTTTAATAGGTGAGGGGTATGATATCACTTAAGGGGGGTGTAGTAACTAATTGGACTGGCCCGCTAAGAGTGCTGAGACCTGCTTCCATTTAGGTTGAAGGGTGAAAAAGGCAAATCATTTTTGTTAGAAGCCCAACGATGTGGCCCATTCAGTTTTTCCGATTGATTTTGAAGAATTGTTTTGTTTTTATTTATAACATCATTATTGTTATCATGATCAAGCAAACTTAAATTTATATTTTGTTTATTAATTAGAAAACGTGTGGCCCAATACATGAAGCAATTACTATGCAAATCATCAATCAAAACACATGTTTTAAAAGGAAAAACAACTATTGTTCGAATCAAATAATAAAAAACAAATCTTAACATTATTCTTCCAGGACACAAACAGTTCTTTACAGTGATATAAGCCAATACAGAAACTTGTCAAAATGAAAATAGAATCAAATCGTAACTTATCAAAACATTACAGACAAAATCAAGTTCATAATCAATACAAAATTAAAATTATACTAATATTACAGACAAATTATTTTGTTTCCTAAATAATCTAAACCAAAAAAGACTATAAAAACCTAAAAAAACTAAGAACAATAGGGGGGAGGATTTACGCAGAGAAAAAATAAGAAAAAATTATTTACAGGTGGGGAACAAATTTACTGGGGGGAGGAGAAATTTACAGGAAGGAAAATTAACAAAAAAAGGGTTTACAGAAGAGGAGACGAAGCTTGAAAGAAGGTTGAAGAAGAGATTCGGGTTTCAATCTCTGAAACCCTATATCCGAGACGCTCCGCCGCCCTTATCCTCCAGCACCTCCGAGCCTCCGTCTTCATCTTTCGTATTCGTACCTGCGAGGAAAAAACAAAAAGTGATCAGAAGAAGGATCACGTTGACAAACGCAAAGCTCAAAGAACAGTAGCGATTAAGGGTAACAAAAATCTAACTTTTTTAAATTAGTATTGCAATTGGGGTAGGGGATCGGGTTCTTTGATGTTGTTAGATAAGAGAGATGAGACACACACACACACACACACACACATACACACACACACACACACACACACACACACACAGAGAGAGAGAGAGAGAGAGAGAGAGAGAGAGAGAGAGAGAGAGAGAGAGAGAGAGAGAGAGAGAGAGAGGTAGCGTCGCCGCCGAGATTAAGATCTAGGGTTTGGGTCTCGTTTGGGTGTTGTTCGAGAAAGAAGAGAGAGAATGGGTTTGAACGAGTGAAGGGAGAGAGGAAGAGAAATGATGAAATGTGTAGAAAAAACAAAATATATTATTTCTAGGGATCCCATACACGTAATTTTACGCGTGTTATCACACACCCTCAACCGTACCCCCACAATCTCAATCAAACGATTCGAATCACCGTGTATCCACCGTAAGCCTGTATGCCCTCGCGCACATTGCCCAAACGAACTCTCCTTCATTTGTCGTTTTGGGCCTAGCCCAATTGCTGACTACACCCTGCCTGTTGTTTTTGTTGTCTCGTTGAAAAATGTACCCTCAGGCAAAATGGGCCAAGTCCAAAATCTGGACTTGGACCATATTCCTTACAAAACTCTATTTTTACTGCGTAGATAAAAAAAAATATACCCCTTGTCTTTTGGGCCTGAATTCAATATCTAAATTCAAGCTCATATTGTTAACACCTCCCTATTTACTACCTTAACCAAATTCACACCTCTTTGCATTTTTAATTTATTTTCTTTATTATTTTATTTATTATTTTTACATTTTCTATTTTTATATATTTATAACTTTAATATATTTATTATTATAAATCAAATATATTATTTTTCAACCCATAAAAAATATTATTTATTTTATTTGCATTAAATTATCTTTTAATCATGCATTTTAAATAAGATATTTTTTTACAATTAATACTTAAAAAATATCCAACCAAACACCAAATAATTTTTGGTAAATACATTAATTCAACAATTAATTTCCGAAAAGGAATATGAAGCATATTTTAATTAACTGCGCATTTGGTCCAAAATTTCTTCTATTCACATACCCGGACTAAGTACAAGGGGAATTAAAATATCTGCGTAATCTGTAAAAAACACAAACCCATACGAACTATGAATTGAGACTCTGATTCCTCATAAGAGGATACATAGGCATACAATGAAAATCGTGGCGAGTTCCCCTAATAAAAAATAAAAAACCATATTTCCTAAAAACCGCGCTTCTAACCCTAGTATCCTTGTGAACAAGGTAGACGAGGGGTGCCTAACACTTTCCCTTCGTCTAAAACCGAGTAAAAAAACCTAGAATCTCTAACTTCTTTTAGTATTATCCTTTATATTCTCTTCTTTAGGATAAAAATTAAAGGTGGCAACTTGGATTTAAAAACCAGTTACAACAGTTGGCGACTCTGTTGGAGACTCAACCATTAGTTTAGAAGCATTTCCTTTAGGTTTTAGGGTTTTGCTTATTTTTTGTTTTTCTTTATTTTGATTTATTTATTCATTTATTCTGCTCATTATATTTTATCATATTATTATATATGTGGTGGGATTTAAATTTCGTAAAAATATTTTCCAAAACCCTTAGAAAGAAGGTTCGTCTATTAGCCAAGGGGATACATCAGCCCTATGAGTTTATGTGACGACTTTGTCTAGAGTTAGTGGAATTCCGCAAAAGGAATACGTCTCAAGAGACATCCTCTTGGGAAGTAGGACTTTGGAATGACATCTATGACTCTTTGTATAACTCTTAAACCAAAATCTCATGACCTAGAGACGGAAGTTTCAGTTTGTAAAGAGGCTCTTCTTAAGGGAGGCCCTTCTGCCTTTTCCTCTAGTGTTATTCATGATACCCTTAAGGAAACCACCTTATGGAGATGATAGAATATTCGTAGGCCAAAACTAGGAGCCTGCCTTCCAAGGATACCTTTCACAAAAACCACTACAATCAATAAACCCGCAAGGGTTATCTCTTCATCCACTACTATCTTTAGCCCGTAGGGCTTCCGTCTATGTCATAATCTCTAGCCTGTAGAGATTCCTCTTTGTCTTTCATTAGCCATAATCCTTAAGAAATTCTTGTTTGTCTTAATCTCTGAGACAATGTAAGATATCATCAAATCCATGTCTATTATTATCTTCGTTCGTAAGGAGTCTCTGTCTGTCTCAATCTCTGAGTCAGTGTAGGATATCATCATGTTTATCATTAAACTCGTATAGGGTACCCTTATGTGTACCTTCATACTACGTTCTTGTCGCATTGCCTCTCCATGAAAACATTTTCATACCCTCGAGAGCCAAAAAAAAATATTTTCTAATTCCATGCATTTGTATATCTCTCATTCATATATTTGCACAAAGTTCATATTATTTACACTTCCACCCTTATCCAACTGTGATCCAGCTAGCAAGATTCTTGATACTCATAAGTAAACTCAAAGCATGTCTCAAGAAGCCATGGAGGAACTCAAAAGAGGCCAAGAACTATTGAAGGATGAGGTCCACCAGTTAAAGACTCAAATGAACTTGATCATGCAATTATTACTGAGGAACGAGGGTAACCCTTCGTCATCCTAGCCACAGGCCTATTGAGCACCACAAATGCCATCACCATGAGAAGTTCCCTCACCTCAACAACAACCACAACAACCCTATCAACAGAAGGTATATGCACATCAAAGGGGAAGACAAAAACTACCACCAAGAAGATTTGATCCACTTTCTATACCGCACAGTCAACAACTACAACATTTACTCAAGACATCTTTGGTAAAGCAGAAGTCACTGAATCCTCTGATTGGGGCACTCCCGCCTAAGTATGATGCAAATGCCATGTGAGAGTATCATACCAACTCTCCAGGACATACCCTTGAAAGTTGTTGAAGTTTCAGACACAAGGTCCAAGATTTGATCGACAATAAGCAGTTGACTTTTGAAGAATAGATCCCATTGGTGAACGATCTCCCCTTGCTTTGACAAATCCAAAGACTAAGAAGAATCTCCTAAATTCAGTGGATCAAAAAGGGGGCTTATCTCTAGATCACTAGGCTTTTATTGTTTCAATTTGTGATTTCTTAGTTGTTAATTTTCATTAGCTATAAATTTTATCTTTGGATAAGTAATTCTAATAATATAATCATGCATGTTTTTGAAATCGATCTATTTGTTTCCACTCTTCTATCACTTTCCATAAATAATCAATGACTTTCTATTTTCACTCTTCTTTTCTATCTTACATTGCATAACTTTAACAAAATTTGATGGAGAATGATGAAAATACAAAATAATCGAATTTCACTTCCTAAACAGTGGAGAAAATCTTGAAGTTTGATTGTATATTGACCATAGTTGACTTTTTACTCAATATAGTTTATTTTCAATCTTCTGAGTCATTGACTGAGCAAACATGTGATGCAAGACTTGAAACTTGGCATAAGCATTATTGAGAATCTATGATGAACCATGAAAGTCAATTGAGACCCTTGCAGACCAATTTTCTTTGAGAAGCACAAAATCCTAGTTGAAGACCCTTTCTTAGGAGAAGGTTTGACCAGTCAACTCTTGAGTGACTTTGAGTACTTAAGACATTTTTTAGTATGTTTTTTTTTTTGAAGAAAATGGGAGGACAAATTTTGAGGTACAACAGATACTCATGTTTTAGGAAAAATAAATCAGTAAACGGCCATGTTTTTATAGCTTGCATTTCTACTTCTACCAAGACAAAGTATATATCATAAAGTAAGCTTGCTAACAGGGGCTATGGTAAGGAATAAGGTTTGGGAACATGAAAATGTGTTTGACAAAAACTAGAAATGGATTTGTGAAAACTAGAAATGGAATCGAAACTAAAATCTGGCCTTAGACCAACTTCAAATGATGCAAAGCAGACGGTTGCTCTATATAGCACCGATATTTTAGATTGAAGGTGTATTTAGTTTCACACAGCATAAAACATGTGAATATGTCATTATATTCAATCACTTTAATTTTTTTAAATTATTACACGTGTCTACATATCAATATTGTATATAATATTCGTGTATGCGTCGGTGTTTCATATTTACTATTGATTATTGATGTCTATGTACGTGTCACTGTTTCTAAAAAAAAGGAGAATGTCAAATCATTACCACATCATTCACATAAGAACTAGTTTATGTCTCATAGACACATTAACTTACTACACTTGGCCTTCATTTTAGTTTTACATACCTACCTTAATGCAACAGAGCTTAGACAAGTCTAGCATCACAAAGTTACAATGCCAACTCATAAAGTTTTTGCCGATGAAAACCGTCTCATCCTTTACCCTTTTTTGTTTTAATTTCCTAAACAGCACAGTTCTCCAAAAGGTTGGCGGACAACATGTCATGTGCATACCATGTAATCTTGCTCCTCAAGATATATAAACCTTTCTCTAAGCCTCTAAAATTAAACCCTAGTAAGTGTTTTTTAAAAGCTAATTTATATCTTTCTTTACCATCTTTTTCTAAAAGCAACCAATCCATGATGTCAAAATATTATCTTGAATTAAGTCCTTCAACTTTCCATGCCGGCAGTGTCTTTATTACATCAACCAACATCATGGTCGAGTCATCCCACAAAAGGCTCAAGATTCCCTTCCTACTTTTCATCCCTTTAAATATTACCTCCTAAGAATACAAAGGGACTGATCTAACCAAGTTACCATAGCTTCCTTACCAAGCTACCAACAAAACAAAAACCTTATTAATCATTCAACATGCAGACCTCACTTCTTCACGAGCTAATCATACAAAACCAGTTTCAAAAGCAGGATAACAGATACTTACTTGATTCTGCCTCTCATCAATCTCAATATCCATCCAAACATCAAACCAAATGTAAGACTTTCTTTTCCTATCAAGATTATCTAATCTAATTTCATTAAATATTGATGGTTTTACTAATATAGAGTGGTTCAACGTTTCAGGTAGAGTAAACTATAACCAGAAAAAACGCAGCAGGAAGGCCGATAGTAATTCTGAAATTTCGGTGACATTAGGGACAAACATATCTGAAACTATTAAAAGGAAGTTGAGCTTAGGGGCTCGAATACTTCAAGTTGGTGGAGTGGAGAAAATGTTCATGCAGTATTTTAGCGTGGTAGAGGGAGAGAGGCTGTTGAAAGTTTCTCAGTGTTATCTGTCGACCACATCTGGCCCTCTAGCTGGTCTCCTCTTCATCTCCACTGAAAAGGTTGCCTTTTGCAGTGAGAGATCCATAAAAGTCTTTAATCAGAAAGGTCAAATGTGTAGGATCCGCTATAAGGTAAATCATGAACAAACATATACCTCTCTGAGTTTTCGTATCCCAATATTCTGTTAAGATTCTTATATGTGTGATGTACAGGTTTCGATTCCAGTGAAGAAGATAAAGTGTGTGAGGCGAAGTGAAAATGTTGATAAGGCAAGAGAGAAGTACATAAATATAGTTACAGTTGACAATTTTGATTTCTGGCTTATGGGTGTATCAAAATATCATAAAACTTATAAATATCTGGAGCAGACAATTTCTCAAACTTAGATGAATATAAGATATAACTTACAAGAGATGATATACAGCAAGCAATGAAATGAAAGTTGTAATTGAAGATATGATTTGGAAAGAGGAGCTTTGATTGAGCATTGATAACAGATGCACATGGTTTATTCATATCAGCTCAAATGCAATATTGGCTGTCAACATATTGTTGATCTAAGAGATCATTTGGCAGACACAGACAGTGATTCATAGTGATAAGTATCCATTGATCCATAGAGAGGCATATTTTTTGTTCGATGATGGAAGATTATTAAATGTTATGGTAGAAAGAAAGATGAAAGGAAATGTAAATAAAAAGAATGAAGAAAACTGTCAGAAGTTTAAGTTTTGATATTCAGACCATTCAAATCTTCAATAAAATTTGTGTAATTGAATCTTGCTACAGACGAATTAGATATTGATCTTACCGGTTGATCAGAATCAGCAAGGTGGCCGGATAATGATCTTCGGACGGGTTGGAAAGTCGAGGAAGAAAAAGGGGAGTTGCACATACAAAGCACTCTGACGATCAAGTAAGTGTGGGTGCAAAAAGAGATACAAACAAAGTATTAAAGTTTTTGTGATAAATAGTCAATATTTCAAACCTCACCCTCACGTGAGTGAGGGTTTATATAGTGCCACTGACGCTTGGCCATTGATCTTTATTTTTGGGTCTGGATATGCGGGTCCGCAAAAATAGATAACTACCAGGATTTGGTCAAATCGGACAGGTGTGTTCGCAACTAGCCGTTAGTTCTGAGGAGGAGGTAGGTTACAGGCAGCGGTGTTGTAATATATATACAATGTCCAATAATAATATAATGTGAATTTGATAGTAAAATTATGCATTATTATTTAGCAAAATGATGATAGTATCGTATTAGAAATTGAATTTCAATTTTATGTTATAATTTCTGAAATTTTATTTATTTTTCTTTATATTTTGAGTGGTCCGATTACCCGCCCGATTACCCGCCCGAAACTCATCGGACAGGTCTCGATTCTCAATATATAAATCCGTTAAATTCTGGTCCCAGTTTATCCGACCAAATCTGTTATGATCCGGTTCCGGTCTACCCGATTCGAATTCCAATCCAATCCTCAGAAGAACAAATATCTGAGCCGGACCGGACCGCCCTAGTAGTGAGTAGGCACCGACCACGTAACAACATATTGATTTTTGTTTTTTTTAATCAATCCGAAGAAAACGTGAAACAAAAAAATACCAACATGAGTAGGCACAAGTGCACGTAACAATTTGATTGAAACAAAGTTACGTACACTGAAGAAAATACTTGCCGACACCAAATCAACACCCGAATTCAGGATACGTGCAAATCGAACACGATTGTAAGCACTAGAGATTACCGAGAACTGAGATGATTTTAATTACCGAGAACCGAGATGATTTCAAATACAGAGAATCGAGATCTACCGAGATGATTTGTCACTGAATGAAGTCAAGATTAACCTAAAACTCACAGGTTTGATGGAAAAGCTATTGATATCATGTCAATAATTCTTGTATATATAGAGATTACTTGACTATACAAGTAATTACACAAAATAATTATATTTAATGAGAAAGAATCAATTTCTATTTTGTTTCCTTATTCTAGGATCAAACCCTTATTGTAACTACTTATTCACAATGTGATGCTTGATGAATGAATATGCAAGAGAAACATTTCAATCATTTTATGTTTTCAATTCAGTTTCAGTATGAACTTTATGATTGATTATATGGTATCAGTCGCAAAAATGTTCTAATTTCTCTTAATTCTTTGCAAATTCTTGCATCTTTTTCGATCCATTGATCATGCCTCCGTGCACTAATCAACCTTAAATCCGGGTTTCCAATGATGTTATTGACTCGCTTTACTGCATTCAACCAATTGAATGTCCCTGTTCTATGAAGATTACACCTCTATTGAATAACTCCAACTACTTGTCATGGTCACGTTTTATGCAGCGAGCTCTTGCGCCAAGAACAAATTGTCTTTTGTTGATGGATCAATTCAAGCTCTTAATCTTCTTGATCTTAACATAGTAGTGAGGGGACGTTGCTCATTCATGGATTACTTCATTGAGTTGCGTGGTTTATGGGACGAACTGGATTCCTATATTCACTAATGAGAATGTGAATCAATGCGTTGTGCAAGAGATTTTCAACTCGAAGAACAGATCATCCAGTTCCTGACAGACCAGGCCATACTCTAGATGTATGTTATAGGAAGTATGGATATTCTCCTAATTTTGGCAATGCTTACAACACTAATGGTGGTGAGGTACAAAGTCATGCAACCAACCCAGTCATACTCATGAGCCATATTCTCAGCTGATTAGATTTCTACAACAAACAGGTTTGATACCTCAATCTCAACCTTCAAGTGTTATGCCTAGTTTTAATCATATTTCCACTCATCTTGATCATAAATCAAATGGGAATTCAGGTATATCTTGTGTCTCAATTTTAGCATGCTCTATTAATACCAAATCTAGCTTTTAGACCATTGATTCATGTTCTAATAATCATATTACAGGAATACACATCTTCTTTATGACTGGTTAATAGTAACAAAATCAGAAATGTAATCAAATATGTACAAGTAGTAGTTAATGGTTTAGCTTAATTTGAAGAAATATGGAGCGCATGTTTCTGAAATAGGAAATCGTCACCACATCATTTCCATGTGCATTCCAAATGGAACTGCATCAACACGACACCAATATCATTTCCATGTGCATTCCAAATGGACCTGCATCAACACGACACCAATATGGCAGTACTGCTTCAACTTGTGAAAATGGGTTACTCTAAGGCACTTATCATAATACCCTTACCTTTATTTCCTATGAAATAAAAACCTTTTTCAGTAGGTCCTTTACAACAGTTTCTGTGATGAGGACTTTGGCATTTACTTAATTACCACTATCTCCAAAGGGTTGGCCGACAACATATCCTATACATACCATGGAATCTTGCTCCTCAAGATACATAAACCTTTCTCTTAAAGCAACCAAGCAATCCATGATGTCATAATATCATCTTGAACAAAAGACCTTCAACAATTGGGCAGTAATTCCTATAAAAGAAAAGAATGACACTTGCTTATCTTATTACATGATAGTTATTTGAGCTAGCTTACATCCTTAACTCTGTCACGTCACCCTTCTTTAAATTTCTCTTTTCATAAGATAACAAAAAGTAAAGAGATATGGTGACATGTTCTATATAACATTGCATAACATGGTCATATAATTAAGAAAAGTCTAGCATCACAAAGTTATAGTGCCAACTCATAAAGTTGTTCTGATGAAAACCATCTCATCTTTTACCTTATTTTTCATTTTAATTTCCTTATACCCATTTTTGCATAACAGTGCAGTTCTCCAAAGAGTTGGTCGACAACATGTCTTATACACGATGAACTCTTGCTCCTCAAGATATATTAACCTTTCTCTAAGCCTCTTAAAATAAGCCTTTTTAACTTCTTTTTTTAACAAGCTAACTTATATCTTTCTTCTTTGCCATGTTTTTCTAAAGGCAACCAAACAATCCATGATGTCAAAATATTATCTTGAATAAAGTCCTTCAAGTTTCCATGTCAGTAGTGTCTTTATTACATCAACCAAGATCATGGTTGACTCATCCCACTAAAAGACTCAAGATTCCCTTCCTACTTTTCATCCCTTTAAAAACTACCTCTTAAGAATACAAAGGGACTGATCTAACCAAGAAAGCCTAACTTCCTTGAAATCTACTAGCTATCTCTTTAAACAAAATAAAACCTTATTAATCATTCAACATGCAGACCTCACTTCTTCACGAGCTAGTTGTTGGAACTCCAATCATATATGACCAGTTTCAAAAACCTAATAACAGATACTTGCTTGATTCTGCCTCTTATCAATGTCAATATCCATCCAAACATCAAAGCAAAAGTAAGACTTTCTATTCCTTTATAGACCGACAAATCACTATTATTTAATCTAATTTCATTAAGTATTGACGAATTTTACTAATATAGATTGTTTCAATGTTTCAGGTAGAGCAAATTCTAACCAGAAAAAGCGCAGCTGGAAGGCCGATAGTAATTCTGAAATTACAGCGAGACTTGGGACAAACATATCTGAAACTATAAAGAGAAAGTTAAGCTTAGGGGCTCGAATTCTTCAAGTGGGTGGAGTGGATAAAGTGTTCATGAAGTATTTTAGTGTGATCGAGGGGGAGAGGCTACTGAAAGTTTGCCATTGTTATCTGTCCACCACATCTGGCCCTCTAGCTGGTCTCCTCTTTATCTCCACTGAAAAGGTTGCCTTTTGCAGTGAGAGATCCATAAAGGTCTTTAATCAGAAAGGTCAAATGTGCAGGATCCGCTATAAGGTATGTCATGAACAAACATACACATATCTCTCTGAGTTTTGGTATTCCAATATTCTGTTAAGATTCTTATATGTGTGATGTACAGGTTTCGATTCCAGTGAAGAAGATAAAGTGTGTGAGACAAAGTGAAAATGTTGAGAAGGCAAGAGAGAAGTACATAAATATAGTTACAGTTGACAATTTTGATTTCTGGCTTATGGGTGTATCAAAATATTACAAGACTTATAAATATCTCGAACAGGCAACTTCTCAAGCAATGATATACAGCCAGCAATGAAATGACGGCTGTAATTGAAGATATGGTTGGAGGACAGAACATCTTCAAGAGTCAGCTAAAATGTTAACTTGGCTGTCAAGACATTGTTGATATAGTTGTTGAGGCAAGAGACCATTTAGTGCATGATTTGTAACAAAGACCAAACAGTGAGCGTTAGAAATAGGGATTGTGTTGGGAAAAAGTATCGATTTTTGAGTTCAATGAGGGGAGATTATTAACTGTTATGAGCGATCACATAACATATGTTTCACTCATTTTATTTCTTTATTATACTTGTTTCTTGTTAATTAAATTAGCTACACTAAACTGGACTTTTTTGTAATTTTAGAAAGATTTGCACCTGAATTTTCTAAACTATGATGACCTAACAGCAGAGCAGCAGAGTGATGAATTGATGAATTATTTGGAATTTAGATTGGCTACCACATACATGCCCACATGTTGACAGAAAATTAAATATTGCTTTTATACATGATTACAGATGAAAAGGATGCAAGCAATCCTAATGAAAAATGAAAAATAAAACATAGCAATTTCTCAAGTTGCATGTTCCATATACCATGAACGAAGTCACTAGGAATCAGACTAAGCATAAAACAAATAAAAGATCATACGTTAACTCATAGGTTGCAGTTGAGTTTCTAAACCAGGTCAAGTAGCTCAACATATAAAGGTGATATCAAACTATCAACATAAACTTCCGATATCTTATCACGGAGGATGTTTTTTTGAAATTTAGGAATCTCAAAAAGTATTATTTATGGAATTATAAACAACCAAACTATATTTCTCCATCAACACTTTATATCCTCTGAAATTATTTCTCCATCAAAATACAAGATCATACGTTATTTTAGAACATTATTTGTTTTAATACATTTTTAATTTTTTTTTTAAAACAATGGTTTATCATGTGCATAATTTATTTTTATTTTATCTACCAAATAATTTTATTAATTTCTAATTTCATTTTAGCATAATTTATCTTAGTAAATTTAATTCTTTATTTTGTTTTTGTTTTTTTCATGCGTTTTAACATTTCTATTTTTATTTACTATAAATATTTTAATAAGCTAAATATATCATCTTCGATTCTAACAGTCAAATGTCATTTTTTTTAATTGCAGTCGATTATTTTACTAAGTGGGCGAAAGTCGAGGGTGTATCTCAGATCCCAGAGGTAGAAAAGGTGCTACATTTTTATTGGAGGAACATTATACGTCGTTTTCGTCTATCGGGGATCATTGTTTCGGATAAGGGCATGTAGCTCGCGAGCTCGTCGGTTGTAGAATTTTGAAAATATCTCGATATACAAAATCAGTTTATTTCGGTTGAATATCCTCTGGATAATGGACAAGCGGGAGCGCTAACAAAATTATCCTTTTAGAAAAGAAGAAAAAGCTAGATGAAGGAAAAGGGCTATGGGCTAAATATTTACATGAGATTTTATGGTCTTATCACACTACACCTCATTCAATCACCAAGAAAACTCATTTTCGAATGGTATACATGGATGACGCAATGATACCACTAGAAGTTAACACTCCCACCTAGTGATGGATAAATTTTGATGATGACCTCAACCGGAAAGGATTAGAAAACTCGGCTGACCTCGTGAAAGAAATCAGAGCAATGGCTCATGTTAGAGAGTTCGCTGCTAAGCAAAGAATGGCTAGGAAATTTAATACCAAAGTTCGTCCAAGAAAATTTCATGAATGTGACCTGGTCTCGAAAAGAATTACGAATACAAAAAAGAAGGGAAATCTTTTCCCGAATTGGGAAGGGCCCTTCCGAATTCGACTGAGGCTAAATAATGAAGCTTACAAACTTGAGAGCTTAAAGGGAGTTGAAATACCTAGGCTTGGAATGTTGACAGTATGAAATTTATTACAATTAATCTCATGTAATGACTTTATTAAATAAAAATTATGGGGTATCACTCTTTTTCTTTGCAAATGCAAGGGTTACTAATAAGACATCCATAATTCATATAAATTTGTGATAATATTTTCATATGTTTTACAGAGAGGAATGAATAAGTGAAAGAGACTAATTTCATCGTGTCGTGATCTACGAAGAATCTCTACCAAATCGGCTAAGTTAACATACCTCTGGCCAGGTCATACCACAATGCCTCTGACCATTAAATTGGCTAAGTTAACATACCTCTGGCCTGGTCATGTCACAGTGCCCCTGACCACCGAACCAAGTAAGTTAACACATCTCTGACCCGGTCATGCCACAGTGCCCTGGACCACCAAATCGGATAAGTTAACATACATATGGTTTGGTCATACCACAGTGTCCCTGACCACCAAATCGGCTAAGTTAACATACATATGGCTTGTTCATGCCACAATTCCCTTGACCACAAAATTGGCTAAGTTAACACACCTCTGGTCGGGTCATGCCTTAGTGCCCCTGACCACCAAATCATCTAAGTTAACATACTTGTGGCCTGATCATGCCACATCGCCCTTGACCACCAATTCGGCTAAGTTAACATACCTTTGGCCTGGTCATGTCACGGTAGCCCTGACTATAACACCCTATTTTCCCTAGCGCATATTTGATAAAATTAGAGTAATTTAAAAATATGATTCAAGATATCTTCTCATGCTTCTAAGGTTTCTCAAATACTCAAGACAACTCAAGAATTGATCAGATGAATCCTCCTCCTAAGCAATGACCTACAACTAGGGTTTTAGTATTCTCAAGGAAAATGAGACTTCTAATGCCTCAAGTAAGTTTCATGGTTCCTCATATGCTTAAAAGAATCTTCATGTCAAGTTTTAAGCCTTACATCATAAATTTGCTCAGTCAATTGCTCAGATGGTTGAAAATCAACTATATTGGACAAAAAGTCAATTGTGATCAACATACAGTCAAACTTCAAGATTTATGGTCAATATCAACATTTTAAACTCACATTCATAATTTGATAAAGTTTTGATCATGATTCATCAAGAAAAATCAAGATTCATCAAAAGTCAAAAGTTGCTAAATTAGGGTTTTCTTTAGGAAAAGTCAACTAAACTTTGACCAAACATAACTTTCACATGCTTCATCAGAAAATTCTCAACCAAAGCTCATTTTGAAGCAAATTCAATTCTCTACAACTTTGTCTATTTAAGCTCAAGGCCAAAAATGCTTCATTTGAGAGATATGGACCAAAACATTACAAGTCATTTTAAAAGTCAACAAAAAGACATTTTTTATCAAAGCAATTTACATCAAGATAAATCTTCAAATGTAAAAATGACCAACTTGAGAGTTGAAGGAGACATCTTGAGCTTTCCAAAAAGTTAAAGATCACCTTCATATGACAAAAATTGAGCAAGTTGTGAGTTACACAAGTTGGGTAATTTTGTGAAATTGCATGAAACCTCAATTGAACAATTTTGAGTTTTTGGACTAATGGGCCTAACTTTTGAAGTTCAAAAATTTTCATGACATATTAGGGGACCCCCAAAACCATTAATTTATTTTTTATGATTTTTATTTCTTTTATTTGAATTTTTATTCCTTTAAATGTAAATTAAAATAAATGAATAGTAAGTGGAAGTATAAGGCATAAAAGGCTTTTGATTTAAATCTTTTAGGGGCCCAAGATCACATTGTCAACCGTGTGAACCTATTTTTGTATCAAATCTCCATGCTTTTGTCTTATTCCAACCTATTTTCAAACAAAATCAAAAGGTTGTTTTACAAGAGGTCCAAGCTCATGTGTTGACCTAATCTTTTCTCTTATAAATACTCTTCACATTTAGACAAGAGAGGACACGAAAAAAGCTGCTCAAGAACATTCTCTCAAAAATATCAACTTTCGTAAAAATTAGGGCAAACTTGCTATCCTAGTTCCAGCCATCTTCAAGGGCAAGTAACCATTCAAATCGATTCCGGGGACATTACAGAGTAAGTTAAGATCATTCTTGATGATCAAAAGTGTCTGAAACATGCCCTACATGCATCGTCAGTTTCATGTTTTTGTCCAAATTCTGATTTTATTTTCTATGATGTTTTGATTAAAACTAACCATGCTAGCATGTTCCTGAGACAAAACAATGTAGGTCTGAACTCTTGCATGAGTCTGATAACGCCTGGATAACCCAGTGCCATGATTGAACCTATTTAAAATTTTTTGTTCATATCTCATTATGCAGGACGTTTTAGCCAAACCTAAGGCCACCATTGAATTCGTAACCCTAAAATTAGGGGGTAGGGTCTTTCTTAATCACTCACGTTTGTTACTTTACAGGTTCCAAGAATCCTCTCACCGGAGAAGACGATCAGAGTTAGGGCTCCGGCGTCTCTCCAGTCCACGTACTTTATAATATGTTTGTTTCATTTTATTATAATACCGAATGTAACAGCCACCTCAGTGGCAAGCGCGCGCATTCAAAGACACTTCTTACCTCTAAGGGTGTGGGTTCGATCCTACGCTGCATAATATTTTTTTGTTATTTTCTATTTAATACATAGGTTTTCAATATATTCTATAACGCCTATCTCTTAACACAACCAGCACATTGACTGGGTGGAAAGTAAGGCAGTGTGAAAGCAGGAGGGCGTGGGTTCAACACCCATCCTATGAGTTTTACCCTTTTTTTTCTTTTTAACCTAATTTCTTTGATTTCTAACCCTAATTTTTCCTTTTTCTTAAATATTTTCTTAATTAATCATTAACTAATTTAATTCCTTTTCAAAAACCCTAATAAATTAGGTTTAGTTTTTTTTAATCAATAATTAATTTTGACATTTTATTATTTATTCATTAATTAGGTTAAACAATATTTTCTTAAAATTAAAACTAATTAGACTTTAGGTATTTTTATTAATTAAAATTGATTAGACTTAGGGTTCTCATTATTTAATTAACTTCAAATTATTTTCTAAGAAATATAAACAAACATTCAAACACTTTTCTTAACGTTTTTCTTATTTCTTTTTGTCTTTAAATTTTTTAGACGAATGTATAGGTCGTACGATTCTTGTAATAG